AATTCTGGGAGTTGTCCACCATCTTAAGCACGCTGACTGGGGAATTCTGCAAGTTGAAGTCCACCCATCTTAACGTTTCAAGTTTGAGAAACTCTGGTCTAGACACTGAACAAAATAATCCTAATTTTGGTATGGTTGCTTTCCAGCAAGCAGCAAAAGAAATATCTGGCAATTCCCGTGGGAAACTTAACAAAGAACTCTCTCTTATTTCTTTTGAGCAAATCCGTTCTTATTTTCCATCAGTGGGCTGTTTTTAAACTCCTCCATGACGAAAATGTGCGCTTTCATGCGGCATAGAGCTTGTTCTGCCTGCACCTTTAATGCAAACCAAATGCTTATTTTTCCAGATGTTAAAAACTCAGGACATAAATAGAATGTTTCACTTTAAATAAAGGTGGAGCCCTGTAGAGGAGGCAGGCCATGCTCAGAACTATGGTTCTTGATTGGCTCGCTGGACCTCGACTGTATTTGGTACCTAATTTAAATTTAAAGAGACATGACAACTACTGGAATGATATTAATTTTAGAAAATTTGCTCTCTTTACAGCCAAAAATAATCCTGGAATCAGGTTGCATAAAATCGTTTTGTAAATTAGATAATCCTCATCTTATGACCGTAACTGAGTCAGAATTACGTTTGTAAGTTGTGCCAGTCATTTATCAGATTATCACATGCCCAACCCAATTTTGTGACTTTCTTGCCACGATCTTTAAGTGAATCCACGGTTGTCAATGAACATTAAAGTTGTTAAGCGAATCCATTGTTTACAATGGGCTTTTTTTTTTTGTAAGATATTGCAGAAATCGCTTTCCAGCCAAAAATATTGGAAATTGCAAGCATTTGATTGAGGGACACTGCAAATGCCCGTAAATATATGACTGGTTGTGAAGTGCCCAAAATACACTATTAGATGTTTGAATCTCCATCGTAAGAACAATTTTGGGGGGGTCCGTCATAACTTTCAACTTTCACTAAGCGACCAGGCATAAATCAAGGACTACCAATTGGGAAATATCTACTGATTTATCTTATTTATATAGCTGCCCATCTTATACCAAAAGCAACTCAGGGAGGAGTACAAGAAAGCTATCGCACGTGATCCTCGACTTATGACCACAATTGAGCCCAAAATGTCCGTTGCTGAGCAAGACCGTTGTTAAGTGAGTTTTGCCCCCTTTTACAACTTTTCTTGCCATAGCTGTTAAATGAATCCCTAAATTAGCATTTAGTCATTAAGCAAATCTGTCTTCCCCGTTGACTTGGCTTGCCACAAGGTCGCAAAAGGGGATCACTGCAATCGTCATAAATACGCGTTGCCTGCCAAGCTCCTGAATTTCAGTCGTGTGGCCATGGGGATGCTGCAACGGTCGTAAGTGTGAGAAATGGTCATAAGTCACTTTTTCGAGTGCCTTTGTTAACTTGTTATGGTCGTTAAACAAATGGCTGTAAGTTGAGGACCTCCTGCACATGCCAATGTGTTTTTTTTCCTTGTTATTTATAGCACAATGCTAAATATAAATTTCCCTTTTTTAAAAAAAATCTGTATTTCAGATCTCTTCTCCTCCTCTCCACCCTTCGCTGTCTCGGCTTTTGAGTTTTTTGTTCTCCTGAGCTGACAAATAACTTGTGTGTTTTGTTGAATACTGGTCTATTTTTTTTTTTTCCATAAATGCTCAAGTCAGATACAGTTCCATCAACTATTGGCATCTCTTGGCACAGAGCTATTTTTGCAAAAAATAAAATAAAAATCTCTTTTTTGAGTTAAGGAGAAACGTGTAGATTGGTGTGATAAGAGCACATAAGCAAGAAAAAAAGGGGGGAAATTCAGAAATGGCTAAAGACTGTCCAGCAATTTCTTAACGTGGTTTTTCTCCACCTTGGGTGACTTGAAGATTGGTGGACTTCAACTCCCAGAATTCCCCAGGCAGCATGGGGAATTCTGGGAGTTGAAGTCCCCCGTACCTTGTTGCTGCCCAAGTTGAGAAAAACTATCTAAAAGGAATATACCTTTTTTTTTTTTTTAGAACTGCCTTTCTATACTACCCACTGAGTTTAATCAACATTTTTTTTTATTTTCTCCTATTTTTGCTTGCCTTGCAGTCTTTCCAGGGAAGTCAAGGGCGGGCCTATCTCTTCAATTCAGTGTGAGTGTTTTTGTTTTTGTTTTTTAAAGTGTTGTGGTCGTTGGTCTTCATCAAAATATCTCACCATAGCTTTTCAATCACGGCTGCCTGGTCTTGTGACAAAATTAGCCAACAGACAGGACTGTTCACTGCAATAGTTTTAACCTTTCTCTCCTTTTTAAGGCTATCTGTAGCTAGAGGACTAAATAAAACTTCCAGATGGGGAGGAAATTATCTTATTACTGAAAGATAAGCTGTAAGGAACAGCTGTGTTACTCTTAGTGGCTTGCCTTGCTGATAGCAGAGAATAACAGGGTGACAGAATAACAGAGTTGGGAGGGACCTCAAAGGTCCTGTAGTCCAACCCTCCCTGCTCAAGCAGGAGAATAACAGAATAAAAGAGTTGGAAGGGACTTTGGAGGTCTTCTAGTCCAACCCCCTGCTTAGGCAGGAAACCCTACACCACTTCAGACAAAGGTTTGTCCAATCTCTAAAACCACCTGTGTTGGAGCATTCACAACTTTTGGAGGCAAGTTGTTCCACTGATTAATTTTTCTAACTGTCATGAAGTTAGTTTAAGATTAGTTTTTACCTGTTGCTTCTTGTCCTGCCTTCAGGTGCTTTAGAAAATAGGTTGAATCCCACCCCACACAAACTTTTTGGAGGGCAACCCCTGAGATATTGGAACACTGCTACCATATCACTTCATTTCATTAAACTAATTAGGAAATAAAAATGGAACACAATCATAGGGCTGGATAAGAATTCATCGTTCTTCTAATCAGAAATGGTGTAGGGTCTCCTGCTTTGGGCAGGGGGTTGGACTAGATGACCTACAAGGTCCCTTCCAACAATCGATCCAATCTCCTGTCCCAGGCAGGAGACCTTCCTGGACTATCCCAATCAAATGGTTATGCAACCTACTTTAAATAACCTCCAGTGATAGACCATTCACAATTCCCGAAGACAAGCCATTCCACTGGTTAACTGTTCCACAGTAACTGTCAAAGAATTTCCTCCTTATTTTTAGGTTGGTTTTCTTAATTACTTTCTATTCATTGCATCTTCTCAAAAACCCAGTTAGTTGAAACGTTGGTTTGAATGAGCTTAACTCCTCACAGGGATGTGGGGTTTTTTGGTTTTGTTTTTTTTTAAATTTGGAAGAAAAATGTAGTTTTTTCATGATTTGAACGAAGGCCTATACAGAATATAGTTGTCTTTCTCTACAATGGAAATCTTGATAAGCTGCCTAATCGCAGCGTTTCTCAAATTTTGCAACTTTAAGATATGTGGACTTCAGTTCCCAGAATTCAAGTCACACTGGCTAGGGAATTCTGGGAGTTGAAGCGCCCATGGCTTAAAGTTGAGAAGCGTTTACCCTACAGCATGAGTCTCCAAAGTTGGCGATTTTAAGACTTCTGGACTTCAGTTCCCAGAATTCCCCATGCTGGCTGGGGGAATTCTGGGAACTGAAGTCCAGAAGTCTTAAAATCGCCAACTTTGGAGACTCCTGCCCGCCCTAGGCACAATCCCAAGATTGCCAACAGCCAGTTCAATTCAAGTTTTTCCAATCTTGGATGCGAAACATTTTCTCCACAATTTAGTTTTTCATGAAAAAGGGTGTGAGATTACAAGAAACCGGGCTGCCCCTGGCCTATTGGGGAGATAAATGAAGACATGAGATTAAAAATGGAAAAAAAAATGACAAAGACTTAGCTACTCCTGTATGCTTTTTTTCTGTACAGGTTATCCTTGTTTAACAACCACGATTCAGTCTGGCAACTTGGTTGTTAAGGAGAATGGTTGCTAAGTGGAATCATAACTCTTGTTATGATGAAGTTTCTGCTTTTCATTGCTTTCTGGACCAGAGAAGGCCATAAATGCAAAAATTGGTGGCAAAGTTTATTTGCCATTTGTCTTAAATGATATAGGGTTCCCTGTTGGAGCAAGGTCCCTTCCAACCTGTTATTCTGTTATTTGTATTTATTTATTAAGTTTGTCTCGCTGCAAGGTGAGGTTATTTTCTATCATGATTGTAACTGACGGCAGTCGTTAAACAAGGCAGTTGCTAAGTGAGGCCTGTACCTAAAACCAGGATACACCTACTGTCAGGGTTCCGGCAGTTACTCCAATTAAATCATGAGCCTCGAGTCACACTCCCAAAACTAAAGAGGATTTATTTGAAGCTACCATTCTACCTCTGGCACTAACGTGGGCGTAGTCAACTCTGAGATGTCATTCACTGTCATCCTCGATCCTGCTTTTCCCCCCAGCCCTCTGGGTGTATCATCCAACGAAACATGTCCATAGCCAAGAGTCATCAATCATGCTCTCCAATTAGATGTTTTCGTGGCAGAAGCTTCAGTCATCTGATCATCCTACCCCCCCAGATATGTGCAAAGATTAGAAAGCAAAACTCTTAACACAAAGATTGTCAAGTTGTCCCAAACTGTAAAAATCTTCTGCCTCCCTAAAAATAGGGCATTATCACGGCTGGGATTCAGCCGGTTTGGATTGAACCTGGCGTTAAATTTACATCTGGTTCACCGAACCGGTAGTTGAACCAACCGGCTGGCTCCTCCTGCCTCTCCCCGGAGTCTCCACGCGGCCCATTTTGTATGCAGGTCAGTGTAGGGTCTGTGCGGGGACTCTGGATGTTCTGGAAGTCCAGAAATGGGTCTGTTTCCAGCTTCCAGAGGGCCTCCAGAGCCCAGGGGAGACCATTTTCACCCTCCCAGAGGCCTGAGGGAAGCCTCCGGACTCTGGGGAAGGCGAAAAACTGCCCTCCCGGAAGTTCCAGTAGGCCACGCCCACCATGGCCACGCCCACCCAGCAACTGGGCAGAGAACCGGTTGTTGGGATTTTTTGAATCCCGCCCCTGGGCATTACAACGATCCATATCTTTTGAAATAAACAAATATTGCATGGTTTGGATGTCTCCTCCTTGGATCTTGTGAGATCTAGGGCAAAACCTTGCCTGGTACAGTGATGTGGCCTGAAATTGTACAAGGTTTGATGTGAGGTCACCCATCACACCGACCCTAATAATTGAATGTAATATTTGAACGCTTAATTCATTTTATTTGGGGGCCTCCATGGGGTGGGATTCTACCGGTTTAGCCCTGTAGCTCCAAAGAGCAGATGACACCGAACCTGTTCGATCTGAAGATCTTCTTTGCTTCAGTTGGGCCCACCTGCCCACCCGGGCTCTAGGCTGTCCTTTATTCCCTGCTAAAGCAACCTTAGTTGCTTTGCGTGGCACAGCTGAGTGCCACGCATCAGCAGAAGGTTATTGCTTGCTGGAGAAGTTGGTTTACCAGGACTGCGTATGCGCACACGGCAAAGCGCATGCTCACCAAACCGGTTGTTACGGCGGTAGGATCCCACTCCTGGGGACATCCATGGGTCCTGGGTGCCAACCCATAATGTATCCTGACTGTACATCAAAGGTGCATAATCTACTAGTAATAAAAGCATCTGTGAGATATCTCAATATTAAATATGATGATGCTCTGGGAGACATGCATGGTTTCGGCCACGTTTGAATCAATCAATGAATCAATCCGAATAAAGCTGGGAGGGACCTTGGAGGTCTTCTAGTCCACCCCCCTGCTCAAGCAGGAGACCCTATACCCATTTCAGACAAGTCTCTGTCCAGTCTCTTCTTAAAAACCTCCAGTAATGAAGCACCCACCACTTCTAGTGGCAAGCTGTTCCACTGGTTAATTGTCCTCACTTTTAGGAAGTTTCTCCTTAATTCCAGGTTGCTTCTCTCCTTGATTCGTTTCCACCCATTGCTTCTTGTCCTGCCTTCAGGTGCTTTGCAGAATAGCTTGACTCCCTCTCCTTTGTGGCAGCCCCTCAAATACTGAAATTCTGCTATCATGTCCCCTCTTGGTCCTTCTTTTCTCTAAACTAGCCACACCTGAATTCTGCAACAAGTTCTTTATATGTTTTAGTCTCCAGGCCTTTAATCATCTTAGTTGCTCTTGTTTGCACTTTTCCCAAAGTCTCAACAACTTTTTGGTAATGTGAAGATCAAACTTGGATGCAGTATTCCACACGTGGCCTTACTAAGGCTTCCTAAAGTGTATTAATATTTCACATGAATTTGTAAAAAAAAAAAAAAAATCTATGTAAAATTTGTGAAATGCCTCCTTAAAGCTGACTTTGTTTTTTTAATATTTCTGTAATATACACCCTGGAGAAGTGATATCACCCGTGGTGACTTTATGAGGTGTGGACTTCAACTCCCAGAATTCCCCCAGCCAGCCATGCTGGCTGGGGGAATTCTGGGAGTTGAAGTCCACCCTTCTTAAAGGGATCGCGTTTGAGAAACACTGCTCTGGAATACAGCTGGTAATACTTGACAACCTGTGACAAAGTTAATAACTTGCTCCTTCGGTGAAATTAAGCTTTCTCTCTCTCTTCCCATCCCCTTGTTCCCTGCAGAGTCAACGTCGGCTGCGGTCCTGCGGAGGAGCGAATTCTGCTAACGGGACTTCATGCAGTGGCTGATATTTACTGTGAAAATTGCAAAACTACACTTGGTTGGAAATATGTGAGTGGTGAAAGGTTGCTTTTTATTCTGTTATCAAGGGCCGTATATATATATATTTTTTCCCCCTGAGACTCTCTGGCTTTCAGAGAGTCGGTCAGTGACGGTATTTAGCCAGTTCGTACCGGTTCAATCGAACCGGTAGCAAGGGTTTGGCATGGGTTGCCAAACCAGTAGTAACTTCTGGCTGGCCACGCCCCTGACCCAGTGGCTCCTCCTCTCCCTGCCTGGTCAGTCCTTATCGCGCATGCGCAACGCTGTGTACATGCGCAACATCGTTGACTCGCCCGCCCAAGGGGCTTGCCTGAGTCCCAGAAGGCCCCCAAAATGGTTAAGTTAGTTAACATGGTTGTATAAATGAATCTGGTGTCCCCGTTTGGGGACTTTGCTTGTCAGAAGGTCCCAAAAGGGTATCCCAGGACATTGTCACCGTCATAAATCCAGTAGTCCTCAAGTTACGATCACAGTTCAGCCCAGAATTCACGTTACTAAGTGAAACATTTGTTAAAGTGAATGGACTGCCGTCTAGGACTTTTCTTGCCATGGTTGTTAAAATGAGAATTTCACAGATAAGCTTGTAACCCTGGTTAAGTGAATCACTGCGGTTGTTAAGTGAATCTGGCTTCCCCCCATTGACTTTGCTTGTCTGGAGGTTGCAAAAGGGGATCACATCATAAATAGGAGCCCGTTGACACTTGCTACGGACACCTGCTACAGTCATAAGTGTGAAAAACTGTCCTTAAGTCCATTTTTTTTAGTGCCATTGTAACTTTGAGCAGTCACTAAATGAACCGTTGTAAGTTGAGGACTAGCTGCACTTAATTCTCTCTGGATGTTTCCAGGGAGCTGTATGCCATCCACCTGAATAAGTTTAAGGGCATTTTAATTTTATTAAGCCTTTTAGATGATACTAAATGCAGGCAGCAGAAGGAAAGATCATAGAGAAGAAAGGGCAGAGGGTCAGTCATCAGTAACCGAGTTTAAACATGCTTGGGATAAATAAGATAGATAAATAAGTGTTCAAGGAAAAAAAATAAAATTAAAATACAGGTAGTCCTCGACTTACAACTGTCCATTTAAGGGACCATTCAATGTTAATGTCAGGGTTCCAACCAGTGGTGGGATTCAAATTTTTTTACTACCGGTTCTGTGGGCATGGCTTGATGGGTGTGGCATGGCTTGGTGGGCGTGGCTTGGTGGGCATGGCAGGGGAAGGATATACTGCAAAATCCCCATCCCCTCCCCACCCCACTAACCTGCTTTCCAGCTCCGTTCTCCTGCGCAGGGCAACCGAAGAAGACCCAGCCAATCAGCTGGGACTCGGGAGGCGGAGAATAGATGGGGGCGGGACCAGCCAGAGGTGGTTTTTGCCGGTTCTCTGAACTACTCAAAATTTTTGCTACCGGTTCTCCAGAACTGGTCAGGACCCGCTGAATACCACATCTGGTTCCAAGTAATACACCCATAGCAAACAGAACTCCGAAGCAAGTCAATTTCTCAAAGAACAAGTTTTATTGGATATATCATATTGGCACAGACTGGTGAAAACCGACACTGAAAGGTTCCCACGGTTTTCACCTAATTAAAAATGAAAGTTTTTGCCCCTTTCCCCAAACAATCAGTCACATGGTCCGATCGAGGTGCCGTCCAGCCTCCTGGTAACGTCACTCTTCCTCTCTCTCTGACCAGGTGTGAGAATGTCCTTGGTTCCCAAGAGAAACTATTTTGTTTCGACTACAAAAAAAACCAGCTCTCTCTTCCCCCCCCGCCATCCCTCCACTCCAGTATGGCAACCCTGGAGCCTCAAAATGGCTTCGGCCAGGTTAGTTTCAGGGTTAGCAGTTAAAACAGCTGTGAAAAATGTGACTTGGAATCATTTTTCACACCGTTGCCAGGAATGGGATTCTACCGGTTTAGCCAAACTGGTAGTTCCAGTGAGCATTTGGCCCTGATCCCCTGCTCCTGTTCTTTCCTGTGCTTTATTTCCTGGTGTTTTTTTTTTAGCACAGCTGGTTCACTGTTTTAGACCCCCGGGGCTGCAAGTAGTAGGTAAGTCATTGTGTTGAAAATGGGCTTTTTAAAATTGAAAGCGCATGCGCGAAGCGAAGAGCACGCTCACTGAACCGGTTGTTCTACCAGTGTCAGGACTCCAGCAGTTACCCCCATTTAAATCATGAGTTTCGAGCCAAACTTCCAAAACTTAAAAAGGATATCTTGGGAGTTAACTCAACAACGTGCCTGGGTGCCTGAGTGTATCATAATTCATATTCTCCAATGGGACACATCCATAGCCCAGAGTCATCAATCAATGCTCTCCAGTTAGAATTTTGTGTGACAGAAACTTCGGTCACCTAGTTACTATCTTTGAAGACATTTATAGAATGCAGTTTCATTTTTGCAAGCTGCTACACTGCTCCCTTTCTGTTGGTAACTCTAAAAAGACCATAGAAATATTTTATGAGTTGACAACTGGTTGAATCGCACCACCCCGTGGTCCTGTGATCCGAATTCAGGGGTTTGGCAACCGGTTATGATGGTCGCAACATCCCGGGATCACGTGATCCCCTTTTGCGACCTTCGGAGCAGCAAAGTCAAAGGGAAGATTCACTTAACAACCAGGTCACTAACTTAACAACCGGAGGAGGGATTCACAACGGCAAGGGAGATCATAAAATCGGCCAAGACTTTCATTTAACCCCTGTCTTGCTTAGCAGCATACATTTTTTGGGCTCAATAGTGGTCATAAGTCAAGGATGACCCGTAATTATTATTTTTTTTTAAATTAAAATCATTTAAAAATTACAAGGAAATAAATGAATAAAAAAGGAAAAAAAGGGTTGACTCGATGAAAGAAAAGGACTGGGTGTTTTTCTAAATGTTCTACATTTTCTATGTTGCCAAGGTGGTTTTCTTCAGCCTTGCTGAGAGCAGCTTGACACAAACCAGAAGGCGGATATTTATCTGTTGTGTTATATGCTGAGTTGTGATTTCAGTAGGAATCTATCTTGCTAAATAACTTATGGGGTTTTTTTTGCTGCCAAAGGAAACACAGACTTTCAAATAAAGGATAAATCCCTCCGCATCCTACACGTTTTGAACAACTAGATTATATTTGTATACAGATAAATTACAGCAGTTCATTTTACAACGGTAAAAGTGGAAAAAGTGACTTATGACCATTTTTCACAGTTACGACTTTTGCAGCATCACCATCGTCACGTGATGATAATTCAGGTGCTCGACCACTGACTAACATTTATGACAGGTGCCCAAAGTTGTCCCAAAGTCATGCGATCAACTTTTATAACCTTCTGACAAGCAAAATCCACGGGGAAACCAGATTTACTTAATAACCCAAGTTACTAACCTATCCACTGCAGTGATTCACTTAACAATGGTGGCCAGAAAGGTCGTAAAATGGGACAAAGTTCACTTTTCAAATGTCTCACTTAACAGTAGAAATGTGTGGAATACCTGTAGTATATGTCGGGCACTTTACAAATAGTCCTTGACTTACGACCCGAATTGAGCTTGGAATTTTGGTTATAAGTCGAGGTATCGTGTGTGATCGGGCCTTTTTTTTTAAAAAAAATAAATTATTTTATGTTGGTTGTTAAGCAAACGTGGCAGTCTTTAAGTGAATGAATGCAGTGGTCATTAAATGAACCTGGCAATTGTTAAGTTGAACGCTGGGATCATAATCTGACTCAGTTCTAAACACAAGAAACTGGCAAAAAAATGACAGCGTCCCCAAGTTCACATGATGAAAATTTAGATGCTTGCCAACTGACTCGTATTTATGACGGTTGCAGTGTCACATCATCCCCTTTTGCAACCTTCTGACAAGCAAAGTCAATGGGGAAGCCAGATTCACTTAACAACTAAAAAGGTTGTAAAACGGGGGGAAATTCACGTAATGAACGTTTCACTTAGCAGAAATTTTTGCTCAATTACGGTCACAAGTCGAGGATTACCTGCAGGTTGTAAGTAGCTTTGGGGTGGAGGGGGAAGGTGTCATAATTTCAAACAGTTGCTCAACAATCGGTCGTAAGTTGAAGACCACTTGTAATAAATAAGCTTATGAGCTGGATTTCTGCAGAACAGACTCTCAAATGGACACTTTAGACCTGGGCTATTTTAAGAAAATACGTTATTCTCAATTTTCTCACCATTTACGTCTGTGGCTTTTCACACCAAGCAAAGTGTTTTGCGATTCAGGCGCCTCGATTCTGTCGAAACTCTTATCGAGCTGCTCCTTTGCTACACTATAAATAGTCCTCGACTTGCGACCGCAATCATCATCTTTTAACCACCCCCTATAATCTCTTGCGAGGTGGAGCCTGGGCAACTGAATGGAGCTGAGTGTTTACTGGCCGGATGCCGTTCCTGTTGCCAGTGCGGAGTTTTATTCGGTCGATATATTCTCAAGTGTGCCCAAAAGAGAGAAATATCTGCCTGTATTTAGGATCGAACTCACAGCCTCCTGATTGTGAGGTGAGAACTCCACCTCTAGGCCACTGCACCACTCAGACTTATGACCGCAATCATCATCTTTTAACCACTCCATATAATCCCTTGTGAAGTAGAGTCTGGGCAACTGAATGGAGCTGAGTTTTTACTGGCCAGATGCCCTTCCTGTTGCCAGTGCGGAGTTTTATTCGGTCGATATATTCTCAAGTGTGCCCAAAAGAGAGAAATATCTGCCTGTATTTAGGATCGAACTCACAGCCTCCTGATTGTGAGGCGAGAACTCCACCTCTGCGCCACTCAGACTTACGACCGCAATCAAGCCCAAAATTTCTACTGCTCAGCAAGACGAGGCCTCAGGGAAGTACATCCTGGGGAACTAGTAAGACGGCGAGGGGGATCCCAAGACAGCTGATTGTTGGAACAGCTGATCATCGGGTGGCGGGGGGGGAAATACCGCAAGGAGTGACTGGGCGGGCAGCCAGCAGTGTCGTGCATGTGTGATAAGGACCGACTGGGTGGAGACGGGCGGGGCCAGCCAGGGGCAAAATTTGCAGATTCTCCAAACTCTGCAGAATCGGAAGAACCGGTTCTACAGAACTAGACCAAACCGGTAGAATCCCATCCCTGGTTCCCCCACCCCCCCACCCCGCCCCGTTTTGTGATCTTTCTTGACCGTTGTTAAGTGAATTGCTGCTATGATTAAGTTAATCACAGGAGTGTTAAGTGAATCTGGCTTCCCATTGTCAGAAGATTACCAAAGGTGATCCCATGACCCCAAGACACTTCAGCTGTCCTAAGTACATGTCAGTTGCCGAATATCCAAATTTTGATCACCTGACCACGGGGATCTTGCAACGCTCGTAAGTGAGAAAAATGGGCAGAAGTCACTTTTTTTCAGTTCTGTTGTAACTTCGAATGGTCACTAAAGAAATGGCTGTAATTCAAGGACTACCTGTCTAGTCATAACTAGGGGTCTTGGGTCAAAATCTAGCAAATAATAGTTCTGTCCATTCGAAGAAGTGATCCACCCTTCTCTTTAGAAATTAAAAAATAAAAACCAGTGTTTAGAATTACAGCAAGGCCCTAAAGTTTCGTTCCAATAATTCATTCATTATTCAATTCAAATATTTATAGCGTGCCCTAGATCGATACATCTTAGGGTGAGGCACAATCGATAGAGAATAAAAGCCGAGCGGGGGGAAAAGCAACCTTGATCAAAACAAAAGCGATACACCAAACTTTCTCAATTCGAGAACCTTCCAGATGGGCTGGCTTCAACTCACATATTTTAATTTTTTATATTTTATTTTTGACGAAACCAGAATAGAATCGAGTGGATAGGATGGGACGAGGGATAGGATAGGAATAGGAATAGAATAGAAAGAAGAATAAGAAGAATAGAAATAAGAATAAGAAGAATAAGAAGTAGAATAGGAATGAGAATAGGAAGAAGAATAGGACAGGAATAAGAAGGGAATAGGAATAAGAATAGAATAGGAAATAGAATAAAACAGGACAGAACAGGACAAGAATAGACTAGGAATAGGGATAGGATGGGATAGGGATAGAATAGAATAGAATAGAATAGAATAGAATAGAATAGAATAGAATAGAATAGAATAGAAGTTGAAAGGGACCTTGGAGGTCTTCTAGTCCAACCCCCTGCATTTCCTGATATTTCCTATACTCATGATGGCGAACCTATGGCACGTGTGCCACAGGTGGCACACAGAGCCATTTGTGCCAGCACGCGAGCCGCAGGCAAACTTACCTCACTGCGCATGCGCGCGCCTCACAGCTGATTTTCAGCCTGTTTGAGGCCTTTTTTGGCCTCCCAGAGGCTTGAGGAAAGCCTCTGCAGCCCAAAAAATAGGCCCATTTTGTCACTTCCTGTATTACCCGAAGTGATGAAATTGGCCTATTTGGGGGGCTGCAGAGGCTTTCCTCAAGCCTCTGGGAGGCTGAAAACCAGCTGGGAGGTTCAGTGCAGGTAAGGGAGTAGCGGAGGGGATTGCACGCACGTGCGCAAGGGGGCAGGCGCATTGCCTTCTCGATGCTGGCACACAGGCACGCGCACAATTTTTGGCACAGGAGCCCAAAAAGGTTAGCCACCACTTCCCTATACCATTTCAGACAAATGGTTGTCCAATCTCTTCTTAAAAACTTTCAGTGTTGGAGGCATCCACAACTTCTGGAGGCAAGTTGTTCCCCTGATTAATTGTTCTAACTGTCAGGAAATTTCTCCTTAGTTCTGAGGAGAGTCACGATGCAAGCACGCTCCTCCTGTAGGTGTGACACTGCCACAAACATACAAAAGTGGGAGAGTTTATGGTGCCATCATTATTCCCTTCGACAGGATTTTGAAAATTGGAAAAGAAGGATGTATTAGATTATTATCTTTTTTCAAACTTGACAACGTTAAGATGTGTGGACTTCAACTCCCAGAATTCCCCAGCCAGCCGGCTGGCTGGGGAATTCTGGGAATTGAAGTCCACACGTCTTAACATGGCCATGTTTGAAAACCCCTGTATTAAATCAAGGGGTGCTAGGACGAAAATGGGCTTGGATATATTATCTGGTTTTTAATTTCCAGTAAAATTAAGCCCATGCTGGCCATATTCTGCTCTAGGCATTCCAAAATGTCCTCTGATCTTAAGAAATAGGATCCTTCCATCTCCCCTTTCCTCCATCCTGTCGGAACTACTTCCTCCATCGCCCCTACTATTCTGGTAGAACCGATGAAGCTTCTTGGATGAGAAGGGAAACCTCTTCTTCCTCCAGGAAAAAAAAAACCCAGTCCAGTTGCCTTTTGACAAAGCGCCTTTGGGTTTAACCTCGTCGTTGTGGTTAGCCGGCTGCAGATGGCTGAGGAGAGCGAGGACTCTGATGAGGGGCCAGGACCATCAGGGAGTGCACTGCTGCCTTCAGAGATTGTGGGGGCTGGCAACAGTGATGAGGAGGTTCCCGAGGAGCCTGTGCCAAGTGCACGTGCACGAAGGATTACTCAGAGGAAAGAACAATTACAGTAGCACAGGCAACTTGGGAGTAAGGCTGCAAGGTCATGGCTCCTCCCTCAAGAGGATAAAAGTCAGGTTTGGAAAAGCGTTCTTTGCAGACAGCAAAGAAGCTCTGAAACTCAACTGGTGGACATCTTAGTTTGTGTTTGGAGAATCTTGTAAATTAGTTCTTATCTCTGGGTTTTTGGCAACATTGATAAACACCTTGGCAAGACTCTTTCTAGTCGGAGCTGATTCGTGGAAAGCAGCTTTTTATCTGTAAAAGTGGGGGCTGCTGCCTTCGTCTGTGTTTGCTCTTTGGGAACCCAGTTGGGTCAGAACATTCGTGAATGTTTTAAGGAAAAGCTTGAACGTGACTCTTTCAAAACCGCGCATCTCCCTTCCAGATTTTGCTAATGCCTTTTTCTTCTTGTCGTTGTCGTTTCAAAGGAACATGCCTTTGAGAGCAGCCAGAAATATAAAGAAGGCAAATACATCATCGAATTAGCACACATGATCAAAGATAATGGCTGGGATTGAACCGCCGACGGAAGAGGAAATGACATCTGATCCACGCCGAGCGTTCACTCTTCCGACTGAACATTTTGTCTCCGAGAACGAGCAAGCGATTGGCACTCTCTGGGTGCCACCACACACCTTCGGGGCTGTGGGCTTCGTTGTCATCCTGAGACCACGCTTCCTTGCGCGCACACCCTCTCTGCCGTCCTGAATCAGCGACCGTCCACCACTCCGTCTCTTTGCTTTTCATATCTGTTTGTGAGTCCCAAACTCAAGTTAGCGTATCCTAGTCTTCCTCTTTCACTGTTCTGGCATTGTGTGGCGTTGTGTTTCTTCTTCCCTTTTTTTTTTTTTAACGACAACAAAAAGCAAAGAATGAACCCAATGCCAAACGGTTACACAACTTACGTCTCAGAAACTGGTGGTTGCCTTTTGGGAGGGGAGGGGGATAAAATCAAGGTTTAGGACCCCTGAGGGGAGAAACTCAATGATTTGGGGGTGTGGGACAGAGAAGAGAGAATGAGTAGGGTTTCTGTCAACCCCTTTATTCTTTTAAATCCTGACAAACCATGGCTTGAAACTCGCGGACTGTAAA